GATTCCCGTCCCAGCTCAGCCCCACCCCCACCAATCCCCTCATTAGCATCTCATTTGCATAAATCCCCCATATTCCTCCCAGGACCCCTGCAGAGACCATCTTCATCCCCTCATTAGCATCTCATTTGCATAAATAATCCACAATCCTCCCAGGATCCCTGCAGAGACCATCTTCATCTCCTCATTAGCATCTCATTTGCATAAATAAGCCACAACCCTCCCAGGATCCCTGCAGAGACCATCTTCATCCCCTCATTAGCATCTCATTTGCATAAAGACCCCCCCCCACCCCCAAATCCAAACCAACCAATCAGGACACGGCACCATCAGATCCACCAATCCCCATTGGCCGCCTCGACCTGGCCCCGCCTACCGCCGCCATCTTGGGGGCGTGGCCTCAGCACCAGTGGCCATTTTGGGGCGTGGCCTTTATTTCGGTGGCCATCTTGGGGGCGTGGCCTTTGACCTGGCGGCCATTTTGGGGGCGTGGCTTTAAGCTGGCAGCCATCTTGGGGGATGCGGCCTTTATTTCAGCGGCCATCTTGGGGGCGTGGCTTTGGAGCCGGTGGCCATCTTGGGGGGCGTGGTCTCAGCATCATTCCGGGGGCGTGGTCTGCGCCTTGCCGGCCATCTTGGTGGGCGTGGCCTGTGCGTTGTCCGCCATCTTTGTGGGCGTGGCCTGTCTCAGGAAGCCGCCTCCAGGTCCCCCATGGAGAAAGTTCCGGTGTCTTCCCCCGGGCTCAGCCCCCGCCACCGAGAACCTCCTGGATCGGGGTGAAAATCCAACATTTTGGGCAAAAAAGATCAATTTTGGGAGGAAAAAACCTGATTTGGGGGTGGGAAAAGGGATTTGGGGTTCATTGAGGGATTTTTTTGGGGTGAAAAATGGAGATTTTGGAGCTAAATTGGGGATTTTGGCATTGAGGGGAGAGGTTTGGCGATAAAATGAAATAATTTGGGGGGAAATGGGAAATTCGGGATGAAATCGGCGATTTTGGGGTAAAAAACGGGAATTTTGAGGTTAAAACGAGGATTTGGGTGGGGCAAAATCAATGATTTGGGCTGAAAATGGGGAATTTTGGGGGAAAGAAAGGGAATTTTGGGTCTGAAAATGGGGAATGTGGGGGTGGAAGGGCTGAGTTTGGGAGGAAAACCAAAGATTTGGGGTGAAATTGGGGATTTTTGGGGGAAAATTTAGGGATTTGGGCAATTTGCGATCAAAATGGGCAATTCGGGGGCAAAACTGGCAATTTTAGTCAAAAATGAGAAAATTGGGGTGAGAAGAGCCAAATTTTGGGGCTTAAAGGGGAATTTTAGGGGAAAAGAGGAGAAAAATTGGGAGAAATTTGGAATTTTGGGGGAATTTGGGGCAAAATGGCCGAGTTTTGGACAAAAGGGGACAATTGGAGGGTCAAAATCGACGATTTGGGGGGAAAAAATGTGAATTTTTGCACTGGAATGGGAAAATTTGCATCAAAATGGAGCGAAAAAAGTCAATTCTGGGGTAAAATGGGCAGATTTGGGTTAAAATCTGGGATTTTAAGGAAATTTGGGCTCAAAATGTGAGATTTGGGGTCCAAATGTGAAATTTGGGGCAAAATGTTTAATTCTTTTGGCTAAAAGTGACGATTTTGGTATCGAAATGGGTAATTCGGGGGTAAAAATGGAGAAATTTGGGTTAAAACGGGAGATTAGGGGAAGATTTGAAGTCAAAAAGGGGAATTTTGGGGTAAAAGGGTGAAGTTTTGGGAAGAAAGGGACGATTTTTGTGTCAAAAATGGGGTTTTTTGGGAAAATTTGGGGTCAAAATGGGGAATTTGGGATCAAAAAACTCATTTTTTTTAGACTAAAATGGGGAATTTGGGGTCAAAAACCTCATTTTTTTACTAAAATGGGGAATTTGGGGTGAATTCAGAGATCAAAATGAATTTGAGAGCAAAAGGGACAAATTTGGGTCAAAAAAATGACAATTTGAGGTAAAAACAGGAAATTTGTGGGCAAAAGGGGCAATTTTGGGACTAAAAGGGAGGGTTTGGGGATCAAAATCCGATTCTGGGGTCAAAATGGGGAATTTGGGGTAAAATTGGTTTTAAAAGAGGAGATTTGGGGGGATTTGGGGATCAAAATGGGAGAATTTGGGGCAGAATGATCAATTTTTGAAATGAACTGGAGAAATTTGGGTCAAAAAGGGAACTTTGGGGACAGTTTTGGGGTCAAATTGGGAAATTTGGGGCAAAATAAGTGAATTCTGGAATAAAATTTAGAACTTTGGGTCAAAATGGACAATTTGGGGACAAAAGGGTCTTTTTTTGGGCTAAAATGGGAAAATTTGGGTTAAAATGGGAATTTTGAAGTAATTTTTGGGATCAAAGTGGGGAATTTGGGATTAAAATGGGAAATTTGGGTTAAAATGGGAAAATTTGGGTTAAAATGGGAAAATTTGGATTAAAATGGGAAATTTGAAGGCGGTTTTGGGATCAAAGTGGGGAATTTTGGGTTAAAATGGGAAAATTTGGGTTAAAATGGGAAAATTTGGGTTAAAATGGGAAAATTTGGGTTAAAATGGGAAAATTTGGGATTAAAATAGGAAATTTGAAGTCAGTTTTGGGATCAAAGTGGGGGAATTTGGGATAAAATGGGAAAATTTGGGTTAAAATGGGAAAATTTGGGTTAAAATGGGAAATGGGTTAAAATGGGAAATTTGAAGTCGGTTTTGGGATCAAAGTGGAAGAATTTTGGATTAAAATGGGAAAATTTGGGTTAAAATGGGAAATTTGAAGGCAGTTTTGGGATCAAAGTGGGGAATTTGGGATTAAAATGGGAAAATTTGGGTTAAAATGGGAAAATTTGGGTTAAAATGGGAAAATTTGGGTTAAAATGGGAAATTTGAAGGCGGTTTTGGGATCAAAGTGGGGAATTTGGGTTAAAATGGGAAAATTTGGGTTAAAATGGGAAATTTGAAGGCGGTTTTGGGATCAAAGTGGGGAATTTGGGATTAAAATGGGAAAATTTGGATCAAAGTGGGAAAATTTGGGTTAAAATGGGAAATTTGAAGGCGGTTTTGGGTCAAAGTGGGGGAATTTTGGATTAAAATGGGAAAATTTGGGTTAAAATGGGAAAATTTGGGTTAAAATGGGAAAATTTGGGTTAAAATGGGAAAATTTGGGTTAAAATGGGAAATTTGAAGGCGGTTTCGGGATCAAAGTGGGGAATTTTGGATTAAAATGGGAAAATTTGGGATAAAATGGGAAATTTGGGGCAAAATGTTTAATTTTTTTGGCTAAAAGTGACGATTTTGGTATCGAAATGTGTAATTCGGGGGTAAAAATGGAGAAATTTGGGTTAAAACGGGAGATTAGGGGAAGATTTGAAGTCAAAAAGGGGAATTTTGGGGTAAAAGGGTGAAGTTTTGGGAAAAAAGGGACGATTTTTGGGTCAAAAATGGGGTTTTTTGGGAAAATTTGGGGTCAAAATGGGGAATTTGGGGTCAAAAAACTCATTTTTTTTAGACTTAAATGGGGAATTTGTGGGGAATTCAGAGATCAAAATGAATTTGAGAGCAAAAGGGACAAATTTGGGTAAAAAAAATGACAAATTGAGGTAAAAAAGGGAAATTTGTGGGCAAAAGGGGCAATTTTGGGACTAAAAGAGAGGGTTTGGGGATCAAAATCCGATTTTGGGGTCAAAATGGGGAATTTGGGGTAAAATTGGTTTTAAAAGAGGAGATTTGGGGGGATTTGGGGATCAAAATGGGTGAATTTGGGGCAAAATGATCAATTTTTGAACTGAACTGGAGAAATTTGGGTCAAAAAGGGAACTTTGGGGACAGTTTTGGGGTCAAATTGGGAAATTTGGGGCAAAATAAGTGAATTCTGGAATAAAATTTAGAACTTTGGGTCAAAATGGACAATTTGGGGACAAAAGGGCCTTTTTTTGGGATTAAAATGGGAAAATTTGGGTTAAAATGGGAAAATTTGGGTTAAAATGGGAAATTTGAAGGCGGTTTTGGGATCAAAGTGGGGAATTTGGGATTAAAATGGGAAAATTTGGGTTAAAATGGGAAATTTGAAGGCGGTTTTGGGATCAAAGTGGGGAATTTTGGATTAAAATGGGAAAATTTGGGTTAAAATGGGAAAATTTGGGTTAAAATGGGAAATTTGAAGGCGGTTTTGGGATCAAAGTGGGGAATTTGGGCTAAAATGGGAAAATTTGGGTTAAAATGGGAAAATTTGGGTTAATTTGGGAAAATTTGGGATTAAAATGGGAAATTTGAAGGCGGTTTTGGGATCAAAGTGGGGAATTTTGGGTTAAAATGGGAAAATTTGGGTTAAAATGGGAAAATTTGGGTTTAAAATGGGAAAATTTGGGTTAAAATGGGAAATTTGAAGTCGGTTTTGGGATTAAAATGGGAAAATTTGGGTTAAAATGGGAAAATTTGGGTTAAAATGGGAAATTTGAAGGCGGTTTTGGGATCAAAGTGGGGAATTTGGGATCAAAGTGGGGAATTTGGGTTAAAATGGGAAAATTTGGGTTAAAATGGGAAAATTTGGGTTAAAATGGGAAATTTGAAGTTGGTTTTGGGATCAAAGTGGGGAATTTTGGATTAAAATGGGAAAATTTGGGTTAAAATGGGAAAATTTGGGTTAAAATGGGAAATTTGAAGGCGGTTTTGGGATCAAAGTGGGGAATTTGGGATTAAAATGGGAAAATTTGGGATTAAAATGGGAAAATTTGGGGCAAAATGTTAAATTTTTTTGGCTAAAAGTGACGATTTTGGTATCGAAATGGGTAATTCGGGGGTAAAAATGGAGAAATTTGGGTTAAAAGGGGAGATTAGGGGAAGATTTGAAGTCAAAATGGGAAAATTTGGGGTAAAAGGGTGAAGTTTTGGGCAGAAAGGGACGATTTTTGTGTCAAAAATGGGGTTTTTTGGGAAAATTTGGGGTCAAAATGGGCAATTTGGGGCCAAAAAACTCATTTTTTTTAGACTTAAAATGGGGAATTTGTGGGGAATTCAGAGATCAAAATGAATTTGAGAGCAAAAGGGACAAATTTGGGTCAAAAAAATGACAATTTGAGGTAAAAACGGGAAATTTGTGGGCAAAAGGGGCAATTTTGGGACTAAAAGGGAGGGTTTGGGGATCAAAATTCGATTTTGGGGTCAAAACGGGGAATTTGGGGTAAAATTGGTTTTAAAACAGGAGATTTGGGGGGATTTGGGGATCAAAATGGGTGAAATTGGGGCAAAATGATCAATTTTTGAACTGAACTGGAGAAATTTGGGTCAAAAAGGGAAATTTGGGGACAGTTTTGGGGTCAAATTGGGAAATTTGGGGCAAAATAAGTGAATTCTGGAATAAAATTTAGAACTTTGGGTTAAAATGGACAATTTGGGGACAAAAGGGTCTTTTTTTGGGCTAAAATGGGAAAATTTGGGTTAAAATGGGAAATTTGAAGGCGGTTTTGGGATCAAAGTGGGGAATTTTGGATTAAAATGGGAAAATTTGGGTTAAAATGGGAAATTTGAAGTCAGTTTTGGGATTAAAATGGGAAAATTTGGGTTAAAATGGGAAAATTTGGGTTAAAATGGGAAATTTGAAGGCGGTTTTGGGATCAAAGTGGGGAATTTGGGATTAAAATGGGAAAATTTGGGATTAAAATGGGAAAATTTGGGGCAAAATGTTAAATTTTTTTGGCTAAAAGTGACGATTTTGGTATCGAAATGGGTAATTCGGGGGTAAAAATGGGAAAATTTGGGTTAAAATGGGAAAATTTGGGATTAAAATGGGAAAATTTGGGTTAAAATGGGAAAATTTGGGATAAAATGGGAAAATTTGGGATTAAAATGGGAAAATTTGGGTTAAAATGGGAAATTTGAAGGCGGTTTTGGGATCAAAGTGGGGGAATTTGGGATCAAAGTGGGGAATTTGGGTTAAAATGGGGGAATTTGGGTTAAAATGGGAAAATTTGGGTTAAAATGGGAAAATTTGGGATTAAAATGGGAAAATTTGGGTTAAAATGGGAAATTTGAAGTCAGTTTTGGGATCAAAGTGGGGAATTTGGGATTAAAATGGGAAAATTTGGGTTAAAATGGGAAAATTTGGGTTAAAATGGGAAATTTGAAGGCGGTTTTGGGATCAAAGTGGGGAATTTGGGTTAAAATGGGAAAATTTGGGTTAAAATGGGAAATTTGAAGGCAGTTTTGGGATCAAAGTGGGAAAATTTGGGTTAAAATGGGAAAATTTGGGTTAAAATGGGAAAATTTGCGTTAAAATGGGAAAATTTGGGATTAAAATGGGAAATTTTGGGTTAAAATGGGAAAATTTGGGTTAAAATGGGAAATTTGAAGGCGGTTTTGGGATCAAAGTGGGGGATTTGGGATTAAAATGGGAAAATTTGGGTTAAAATGGGAAAATTTGGGTTAAAATGGGAAAATTTGGGTTAAAATGGGAAATTTGAAGGCAGTTTTGGGATCAAAGTGGGGAATTTTGGGTTAAAATGGGAAAATTTGGGTTAAAATGGGAAATTTGAAGGCGGTTTTGGGATCAAAGTGGGGGA